TGAACCCTAAACCCTGAACCTAAATCCAGATGGCCACAAGGAAGCTAACCAAAAGGGCGATGTCCCTGTCTCCGTGGTCCGGAGGTTGAGGGTAAGAGCTATAGTCCAAGCTCCTTAAAGGGGCTTATATAGGGGAGCACCATAGGGCTCATTAAAGGAGATACTACGAGTTTAGACTCCTATGTATGCACGCTTTTATTGTTGATGGTTTAGGGTTTGGGAATCTTCAAGTTCTTGAATCGACCCATCAACCCGAAGCTCTGAAGAATCCTACCCAAGGTGGGCACCCAACATTTTGTCAAGGGTCTCTGGGTTGTGGCCACAAGTTTCAGGGAGGTTTTGGGCCATCATTTTCAGGGTTTAGGCGGCCACAAGTTTTAAGGCTTTGGGGGTATAATTTTTTGTTGGCCACAAGTTGTAAGGGTTTGGGGGCCATAATGTCTAAGGGTTCGGGCCATAAATTGACCTGTGTTTGAGGTCCAGGTGCATCCACCATAGGAGATAAGCCTTGGCACCAGGCGTTCAATGATGCCAAGAAGCAGAACGCTGCAGCTGACAAGGACGTTTGGGCTCGAGAATCCCCCCCAAGAGCCCCTAAAGGAACGAGTTATTCATTTGGGGCTGAACATTGGGCGAAGATTCCTGCTGCCCTTGCTAGCACACTCGTGATTCTTCGGGTATGTTGATGACGACGACGATGATTATAATTATGATGATGATGATGATGATGATGGTAATGACTATTGTTGTTTGCACCAGCGTGTGCCATATTTGGGTATTTCCAAAAAGTGAGCTGTAACTGTCTTGTTAGGCGTACTTCTAATATGGACTATACTCTATACGTGTGTGTATATAATGGAAATATGTATGTGTGTGTGTGTGTGTGTATGTGTGTGTGTGTATATATATATATATTGAGGCCCCATTTCCGTATAAGTTTCTTGGCGAAGATGCTGCAGTGATTCCACTAACTCCTCCATAAAGGGCTCCTGGATTCCGATGGTCATATGAGCTATAGTCTAAACTCCTGAAATGGGTTATGTAGTGGATTTTATAGGGGACTACTATAGGGGGTAGTGAGGGGGATACTAGGAGTTTAGACAATGGTACATATCAGAAGTCGAGCATGCAAGCATTGTAAACGGCAGAGTGGCATCACCTGTCTATAAGAATCCTGAGACGGCCGCCCCTAAAACCTAAAAAAACCAAGCACCCTGGCATGACAGGAGCCTGCCGCAGAGTGCTGAGCGGCACAAAAGGAGGATCTGCAGCACTCAGGGCTGTCTCAAACAATCCCCCTTGAACACAAAATACACCGCCCTCCACGTATACAAGTGTTCCCAAGTCAGCACCTTCAGATGATGCATTATATAAGGAACTAGCTTTTATCAGAGGGTGCGGTTTCATGCTTCGGGGCGGGAATGTTGCAGAATGCCTTGCTGCATTCGCTTGTGCATGCCCCTAGGTGCCTTCTGCCTTGGGAGCTATAGCAGCTTCGTATACTGGGTCATGCAGGTTTTTCTGCATCAAAAGTTTTATTCCCTATAGACACCTATACAATGTGTTCCCTGAATCTCTACTAACCCTAAACTCTACATGGCTCATTGCCTACTAGCCGCTAGCAAGTTCAAGTGAGAAAGTATTGTTTGTCTTGCTCGCCCAAGGGACAGAGCAGTGCCTGCTGACTGGCCCCTTTGGGGTATAGGGGTTATACGGGGGTTACATAGGGTTTTTTGCGGGTTATGTGGAGGGTTATAGGGGTTATCTAGGGGTTATAAGGCTTGTTTCTAGGGGTTATGGGGTTATATAGGGCTTGTTTTGATTGCAATGCGGAGGGTTCATGCATGCAAAGCCACGGGGGCTTCACTATTGAACCATCGTTTACCAGCCTGCATATTACCCCCCTTCCTTGACCGAATTCAAGAAACAACCTTTTTGCACTCCTCGTTAAGCAGGCCTTCGAAACGCATCAAAGAGGGTCTCTTCACCAAAGCAGGTTCACCATAAAGGTTTGGGTCGAGAGCAGCACCAGCAGTACTGTACTGCTGCCACGACTCTGTCGGCTACTACTGCTGTCAGCATTTTTGCAGCCATTGTGCTCAGTTTTGTCGCTTTGTGTTTTGGTGCCTCCCAAGACTCAGCCAGCCATGCTGATGCTCCCATTGCTGTGTGTGGCCTAGCCAGCGGTTGAGCTTCCATTTTTTGCAAGTCGTTCACCCAATCTATCCATTGCCTAACATAAACTTGAGGGCCGGATGTAAGAAATTTAAATGGTAGTTTCCCTAAATTAGGGCACCCCAATATAGACCTATATACTATCTTCCTTATTATAGGACCCCCAAAAAGG